AGGAAGAAGTAATACTGACAGTCAGTCACTTTGCTTTGAAATATCCAATGCCACAAACATACTGCCAAACAAAGTAACATCACCAGCTGAAATTCTGCAGTATATTGCACATCATTCTTTAACTGAGATGTATCCCTATCTGTGCATCTCCCTTCGCATTCTTCGTATAATTCTAGTAATGGCTTCTGGAGAAGATTATTTTCCAAGTTAAAACTAATTGAAACATATCTGAGGTCTACAATGCTTCAAGAAAGACTGAATGGCTTGGCGTTATTGAGCATTGAACATGAAATAAGTACTAATCTGAAGTATGATGAGATAATTAATGAGTTTGCTGTAGTTAAAGCACGTAAAGTGGCTTTGCAATAATGTATAAAGTTCATTATCGTGTTTAAAAGGGATTGTAGTGAAATATACAGTACTTACATCAATTTTGTCATGATTTCCTGTATAAATATTATTTAAAAATTGAAGAAAAATAAATATATTTGAGTGGGGTGGCCTCGAAATCCATATCTGCCTAGGGCCACCAAATTGCTCTGCCCGGCACTGTATATATATATATATATATATATATATATATATATATATATATATATATATATATATATATATATATATATATATATATATATATATAGGTTAAGTCTTCTTGGGGCACCTAACTTAAGATAAGGAAAATCGAGGTAAAGTATTTAAACGTTGATTTTCAAAATTAAGTTAAACATAACTTTTATACGAGCTTGAAATTGAATATAAGTATTTTTAATATTTCAAAATCTTTCATTGATTTTGTTAATAAAAAAATTTTTCTTTTACATCCAACAATCACGAGACATGCCGATGTGCAAAGGCCTGGAAATAAAATGTTTCGCGACATAAAAATTAAAAGTTAAAGACATATCAGCGTATTTTATTAGTTAATAAGGAAAGTAAACATATTTCAACGAATTTCCGAAGATCATCATGAAACTATTGTTTCAATAAACAAGGGTTTGAAAATTTTAAAACGTTCATCACTTTGTTTCATGATTTGATCTTAATATGAGTTAAAAGTGTGAAAGAAAACAAAAATTGCATAAACCCATTAATGTTGTTCTAAAATTATTTAAATTATTTCATAAAACAAAGAAATTGGTAATTTATTACTGGTAAACTTCTTATGAGAAAACTTCGTCAAATACTTGATCGAATAATAAATATCAGTAAGTTGATTTTAAAAAATGGTTATGATATTATTGATCGGCAATTTCACTAATAATAATAAAAAAATGGTTATGATATTATTGATCGACAATTTCACTAATAATAATAAAAAAATGGTTATGATATTATTGATCGGCAATTTCACTAATAATAATAAAAAAATGGTTATGATATTATTGATCGGCAATTTCACTAATAATAATAAAAAAATGGTTATGATATTATTGATCGGCAATTTCACTAATAATAATAAAAAAATGGTTATGATATTATTGATCGGCAATTTCACTAATAATAATAAAAAAATGGTTATGATATTATTGATCGGCAATTTCACTAATAATAATAAAAAAATGGTTATGATATTATTGATCGGCAATTTCACTAATAATAATAAAAAAATGGTTATGATATTATTGATCGGCAATTTCACTAATAATAATAAAAAAGTTCAAGACAAAAAAGATCAAAAGTTTTACCTCGCAGAGTCTTAAGTTGAATAAAAAATGAAAATTAAGGATTAAGTTTTATGAAATTTATTATTAATTAATTATATTTATAATATAATTATATTATAATTAATTAAATAAGGATTAAGTTTAATAAAAATCACCGCGTAGAAGAGTCTAAGACCTTTTTTTAAATGAATTTAGTGTTGCGTAATTTATGAACAATCCTTAAAAGAAAATAATAAATCATAGTAACTTTTTGAGTCACTTTAAAAAAATTACTTTATGTAAAAACAATTTAATTTGTTGAGAAAACTAATTAAACTTTATTGTTTAAAAAAAAAACAATCAATGAAGCGGGAGGGGGTGGAGGGGTTCAAGTTTGTACAGTCATATCTTTTGAACTCTTCAGTGTTCAAAATTTATGACTGCACAAAGTTTAACCTCCTCTTCTTGAATTGAGGGGTCACCTCCTCCTTTTCCAAAAGACGGTCCTGCATTCTAGTCATTCAAGTTGCGTTTTTGTAGTTTTTAAAAAAATAATAAGGTTCAATTAGTTTTCTCAACAATTTGAATTGTTTTTACAAAAAACACAATTTTGTCACAAAAAACCATTAAGTGCTGTTTTAAATAAGTTCAAATAGTTACAATGAATTATTAAGTAAGAGTTAAATATTTAAATAATTTTTAAATGTATTCTACAAAATAGAGTGCTTCAAAGTTTTTAAAAGAACAAAGCAATTATTTAATCAATAAAATTTTTTCATAAATGAAAAATATTTTCGTTTATATATATATATATATATATATATATATATATATATATATATATATATATATATGTATATAGAAAGTTAATTAAATAGAAAGCTTAGTAACCAATGACATTGTAAATCGTCTTTCAAAACTAAATTTATTGTCTCAATCTCAACATGAATAATGAAGAATGAAGCATGCGTTACAAAATTATTAGAACCCAATGATCACGTCACAAAATGCCTAACCAACAAAAGTGCAAATTGTTTTGGATCTGAAAGATAAGAATGAAACCAGTCATTTACAATACCATATATTTGTTAAATTTATTTTCAATTTGATTGAAAACCAAATTGAAAATCAACTTAACAAGTATATGAGTTTAGAAAAGACTACACTCTAAGATCTAAAACAAACGAACCAAGGTTTGGAAACATGAGTTTCACCAGACCCCACAACACCACCCTAGTCAATTTTTGATAAATCAGATTTAAGATTTTCAATATTGAGGTTTTTAAATGAGAAAAGGTTTGTAGACTTCTACAAACCTTTTCTCAACTTTTCAGATTTACCTCCGTATAGAGGTAAATTGTCAGTTTTAAGAGTTTTATCAAAAGAAGATAGCAATTTAATTCGTAATCTGGTAAATGGAAAGATACTTTTATTAGAGTTTACAAAATGTCATAAGGAGCGACTTAATTGTAGTAAACTGTATCTAGTGTCATTAAGCCAATTACATTTTGTATTAATCCAAAAAAAACTAATATTATACTGAGTTAAGCGTCAACTTTTTGGTAAAAAATAAAAATAAGTAAATATTACATTGAATAGGTTATTTTTAACAGTTTAAAGTCATAGAAGAACTGCAATATTAGGGAGAATGTAAGAAACAATAAATAGTAAGTTAATAGCTATGTTATTAATAAAAGTTAAAATAAAATAATATTAATGAATAAAATTATTAGGAACAAGCTATCACAACTAGAGATCTCCCATTAGAATGATTAGACTGAAGTCTAGGGCCTAAATCCAAACATTTTTGCACCAAACTACAAACTAATGTCCGTTTGTACTGCGCTTTTGAATAAGATAATAAAAAATAATCCAATTTAACCACCACTGAAAATATTTTAGACAAAACGTACTTTATAAATAGCAGCAAGCAGTACATATCGGGTGCAATCTCAGCAAAGATTAGCGAAACAAAAACGAGGCGTAAAAATTATTAAGACTATAAGTAATAAATATACTTAACGAAAAAACTTGTAAGAGCATCTTTAGCATTTTTACTAAAGTTTTTCGTTGAGTATATATTTGCTAGTTTTGATATGCGAAGGATACCCTTTACTCCATTCACTAGAGTTATATATAAAATCTTTACGTAAAGATTCCAAACCGGCAAAAACTATTTAGTGAATAAAGTAAATTTCAGCATTATTTAGATATGGTATGCTTTAAAACCTTAGATATGGTACGCTATAAAATGATTGTATTATTGCTTCCGAAATGTTGACATTATTTTTTAAAAAACCTTATTGATAAAACGTAAATAGTATGCCATTATATATTGCTTTAAGTATTTTTTAAGTCGTAAAAACGTTGCTAAGACCATTTTTTTACATTAAAATACCGATACAAACAACACGTTTATTTACTTTCATGTAACCGCAATGAGAACAAACCTTATTCTTGTAATATTAATAATTTAATTCTTTTTTTTTTTTTTTTTTTTTTTTTTCAATAAAAAAATGGCGTATTAATTGAACAAAAAAAAAAAATTATGTGGATGCAAATGTGTTTTGGAGGTAGTGTATAAAAGAGTATTTAACACAAGTTAAGATGTCCTAAATAAGATATCTTAAGAACGCCTAGAATAGAGAACCTTAAAGCATTTTAAACAAGCTAAAGACGTACTTTTAAAGGTCAGGATAAGATGTCTTTATAGCGTTTTGAGTAGACTTATTTAGAACTTCTGGTAATGGCGTTTGGTGAATTAGCTTAAAAATGTTTGTTAACAATTTTTTATTCAATGGAGCTTCAATATTTTTTTAAACACTTGCCCACAAAGCTATCAAAAGCTAAGACCTAAAGCAATAGCTAAGTTTTTTATGATGAGTGACTTGGAATTAGTGCTAAAGTTGCCCGTGATAAAGTGTCACTTCAACATATGATCATATGCCGAAAATAATAATGCAAGAATATCATTTTAGCAACAAGATTAGTCTGAAAATAATAATGCAAGAATAACACTTTACCAACAAGATTAGTCTGAAAATAATAATGCAAGAATAACACTTTAGCAACAAGATTAGTCTGAAAAAAATAATGCAAGAATAACACTTTAGCAACAAGATTAGTCTGAAAATAATAATGCAAGAATAACACTTTAGCAACAAGATTAGTCTGAAAATAATAATGCAAGAATAACAATTTAGCAACAAGATTAGTTTGAAAATAATAATGCAAGAATAACACTTTAGCAAAAAGATTAGTCTGAAAATATTTTAGCATTAGTATAATCCTAAGTCTTAACATAACCGAATGTTTGGACAAAACTTAAACCTTGTTAAAACCCATATAAAACGTATATTTTTCAAAAGAAAGTTAATTTTATAATAAATGTATTAACAAATATAGTCTTTGCTTCATTTTGAAAAATTTCATGCATTAGGTGGATAAATATTTTTTGAAAAACTTCCAACTAAGTTTCCAGCTTCTCTATACTCACATACAACATAAACTTTGTTTCCATTATAAGCTCGACCACACCCAAGTTTTGAGGTTGATTTCCATATCACCTATAAAGTAGTAAGATTAGAGTTATTCGTTTGAAGTTGTTGAATAACATTTTATTTGTTTATATATAAATATTTTATTCATAACTTTTTTTTTTTAAATTTAACAGGTCTATTCTATACTTTAAATATTGTATTCCAATACTTTTTATCAAGTAGTTAGTCGGAAAAATACAATAGTATAATAAAATATTTAATGTACCAATCTATTATTTTTTTATTTATATTTAATATACTTGATATATTGATATTTTCTGTCTACCAAACTTTATCAATATTAAATTTGATAATAAGCAAACTTCACAATATGCTATAAACTTATCTATTTAATTTTACTGTCAGTTTATCATTATTGTTAATTTTTTTTGACAGTTAGTTATTTTGATTGGTTATTTACCAAGTTATTTTCAAATAGTTTATAGGTTCACTATTTAAAATTTTTTTTCCGTTATTATTTCTCTGCAAAGACTTCTATTTTTTAATATTTATTTCAGAGTTTTATTATTGAAAAATAATATTTTAAAAATTTAAATAAAATTTTACGAAACATGTCAAGAATAAAAAACATCGTGTTATTTTTAAATATATATATATATATATATATATATATATATATATATATATATATATATATATATATATATATATATATATATATACTTTTTTAATTTCTTTGATTAAAATTTGTTTACCTGTGTAAAATGGCTGACTTGATTACTGACTAAAGGAAATAGATAATCACCATTATACATAAAATTCCAATACATAACTTCCTCATACCAAACTTTAACAGCATTTTCTCCGGATGGAGGACTTACAGAACTCCATTCATAATACATGTTTTCTCCAGCGCCATTTCGCAATGAGGGAGGACTATGTTGGACATTTCCCGTTCTTGCTATATTTTCTGCCCAATTTTGCGCCATAGCATTTAACTCGTCACTCAGTTGAAGGCTTGGTGCATTGTGTTTTTTTCTATATAAGTTATGACTTGCAAGAATTGACTTTCTGAAATCATCAAGAGATTTCAGAGGTACGACGGGAACAACAGGGGTCACAGGTTTAACTTGTTCTGAACCCTTACATAAACACGAGGTTCCATCTTTGTTATAACTTTGTTTACCTGTTGAATCAGTTGCAGTTGAACATTTTACACTGTATCCTTGATATGATGAACATTTGGGAAGACATAAGTTAAAAAAAGTATTACAATTAACCACATTGTTTGCTGTTTTGATAACTTCTTCTTTAACTTCGACATCAGCAGTAATCAAACATGGTGATAGCATAAATGCCAAGGCTAAGAATGGAATGTGTTTTATTCGAGTCATCTTGAGTGTCTTAACTTTGCGCTTTTCGTTTGACAACAAATGTAAAAAGACAAATTTATAACCGTTTAAATACGATTTTTGTATTTATCTGCTAATTGGTAAACATCTTTTTGATATTTAAAGTTATTTGTTAGATTTCCGAACTAAAGATTTAGTTTTAAATAGGTAATCTGACGTACAATAATAGAATTTAAGTCATACGGATCCAAAATTGGAACTCATTACATAACTAACATGGTTCCTTACAATGGCTTGAATAAAATAATATTTAGTGATCATTCTCTTTTACATTATATTTTTATAAAGACTCCTAATCTATGCACATGCATCTTCACATCTTAAATGCCGACTTTTTTTATGAGATTATTTGTTTTTAACTTGTTTTATATAACTTTTTTTCAATAGAAAATAAAATAAATACATTAAGAAAATAAAATGCTACATTAAATAAAATTCTTACGCTTGCTTTAATAATACTTAGCAACCTTTTAATTAAGTTTTAAACAAGAAGTCGTGTTGCATTGGCTAAAGTTCTGGCTTCATAACTGAAAGTACATGGTTTGAAGCCGGCTCTGGCCATATATGCATAATTGGTAAGGTAAGAGGCGTGAACTTCCAGGTTATATTGCGCGGTGCTCTGTTGTAAAACCGTTAGTAGCTCTATAACCGTCTGAAAAGAATTGTTCTCAAACATATGATATATATATATATATATATATATATACATATATATATATATATATATATATATATATATATATATATATACTATATATATATATATATATATATATATATATATATATATATATATATATATATATATATATATGTATATATATATATATATATATATATATATATGTATATATATATATATATATATATATATATATATATATATATATATATATATATATATATACATATATATATATATACAGTATCGGACAAAACAAGTGCAACCAAATAATGCTAATTTAGTTTCTTTATATAAAAGTGCTGCATTTTATCAATTTAAAGAAATAACTATGTAACTGTTTAGAGACAACGTTCTTCAAGTTTTATTCATCACAAAGTTCATTATTTGTGCACGAAAATTAATAATTTAATCAAAAGTATTAAAAAAACTTGATTTCTCTCTGCACAAAACAAGTGCAACTCCACAAAATGTTGACCAAGCTGTATCAATATTTCGTTGCGAATCCTTTGTTGTTGATCACAGCCTTGCATCTTCGAGGCATAGATTCGATCAGATGATCAATGAAACTTTGTGGAATCGCTGCCCAGGCTATTTGGATTCGTTCAAACAGTTGATCCTAATTACGAAAACCTTCACGATTAATAATGCGGTTGACGATCTCCCACAGGTTCTCGATAAGGTTGAGATCCGGAGATTTAGGCGGCCAATCCATCACCGATAGGTGGTTGTCTTGAAACCACTGCTTGACTACTTTTGCAGTGTGTTTCAGATTGTTGTCTTGCTAAAAAACCCATTTTATTGGCATATTCCATTCAGCATGAGGTAACATAACATCTTTCGGATATTTTTATACATGAAACAGTCCATTATTCCATCGTTTCGATGTAATGGACTTGACCGTTAGCAGAAAAACACCCCCAGACCATTACATTGCCTCCACCATGCTTCATGGCCTTATGGCAGTAACGTAAATCGAGGCGTTTTCCTGCCGGTCGACGTACACGGCAAATGTCAATGCTTCCAATGATATTGAACTTCCATTCATCACTGAACAGGACAGTTCACCATTTCTGCATAATCCAGTCAATATGAGATGTAGAAAACAGGAGTCTTTTCTTCTGGTTCTTTAGTGAAATCAGCGGTTTCTTTGCAGGGCGTCGAGAAAACAACCCGGTTTGAACAGCACGTCGTCTGATTGTTCGGTCCGATACAGGCAGCTCTAAATGCTTTTGTATCTTGACTGATGATATCCAGGGATCCTTCTTGACGGATCTGACGATCATAGAATCCTCTCTAGAAGTGGTGGAACACGGTCTTCCACCTTTGTTTGATTGTTTCGATAAACTGTCTTGATAATACTGACTGATTGACTTCCATATACTGACTGAAGTACATGTCGGTTTACATGTCTCTTATATAGTAAAATAAACCTGTGTGAACCTGTTCTGGAAGATTCTAGATAACTTTCGATGCTTCTGGAAGCTTCTGGATGCGTCTGGATGCTTCTGAATGTTTCTGGATACTTCTAGATGTTTCCAGATGCTTCTGGAAACTTCTGGATACTTCCTTTAATTATTATTGCTCATGTCATGGCATTTTTAATTATTATTGCTCATGTCATGGCATGCTATGACTCCAGACTCCTGAACTGTTTGCTGTGGTAGTATAGTTCATTTTGTTTTAAAGACATGTAAAATTAGGAACACTTTTTAGCATTGTTCGATGTTGGTTGCAAATGTTTTGTCCAATTTATATATATATATATATTTAAACAATTTAAAATGTATTCTACAAAAAGAGTGCTCAATGTCCTTAAAAGAACAGAGCAATTACAAATTAGTAAAAAATTTTGCTAAGTGATTTTCTACTAATTTATATATATATATATATATATATATATATATATATATATATAATATATATATATATATATATATATATATATATATATATATATATATATATATATATGTATATATATACATGTATATATATACATGTATATATATATATATATATATATATATATATATATATATATATATATATATATATATATATATATATATATATATATATATATATTTATACCGTCAACCGGGGTTACTTTGAACGTTTTTGAGATATTTTTGTATGCCTCTTCTTCGTTAGTAACAATATTTAAAATTTAAAAATTATGCATATAGGAGCTATGGCTGGCTCTTATATAGTTCAAACTCAAAATCATATTTAAACAAAAAGATTTTGAATAATATTTATTTACTTAGTCGTTCAAAGTTACTCCGCAAATGGGGTTACTTTGAATATGTTTTGCTGTAAAAGCAAAACATATTCAAAAACACAATGCTTGGTTTTAAAATTCAATAAAAACAACACTCTAGGTTCATTTTAGTTATCATCACTCAAATAATATAATATTATGTAATAATATTTTACCTAAATGGTTTTTTTGTCTTAATGGGTATGTTTTAATAAGACCTGCATAAAAAGAATCTTCATTCTTTAGTTTTTTATGTTCAGGAGTAGAAGACAACTCAGATGAAACAATAGTTTCACTAAGAAAAAACGATGCATGTGGAACATCATTAAATGTTGCTCGAAAATCCTCTAAAGAAATGCTTTTACCAGGATCAACTGTAATTTTTTTTTTTTCGCTTTGGTTTTTCTTTTTCCTGGTCATTAACACAACGCAATCGCTTAAGTACATTAACTACAGCTTGGCTAACGTTGCTTTTAAAACTTTCAATATTTTTATCAGCATCTGGTAAACGATTGAGGACAATACTTGCATTCAATGGGTAAATACCACATTTTTTAAAACCAAATATATATAAATATATAATTTTTTTAATAAAGAAGGAAATTTGTCTTTTGTAATTGTCTGTGTTTTTTTTGAACACGAGATTTTCCATTCATTAAGTATTTTTTTCCAACATTTTTTAATTGGTCCAAAAAATGCAACATCAAGTGGTTGCAGTAAATGGGTAGAGTTTGCAATTAAGCAAACAAACAAGATGTTGTTTTCTTTAGCTAATTTAAGTACCTTTTCACTAGAGTGACTGCTAAGATTATCACCAATTAGCACTTTGGTTCCTGGAAGATGTTTTACAGATCTGACAAAAACTGATCTGTCTCAAACGAATCAGAAAAACAAACAAAATCAAACCATCCTGACTTACTTCGATTGAGTCGTACATTAGGTGGTCCACCTTCAGTCCATGTTGTCCATACATAGTCAGCTTTATAAACAACATAAGCTGGGAGCATTTGACCAAAAGCTGAACCACAAAGCATGATTGACGAAGCACTTTTACTACTGTTCTGAATACGTTCAGGATATTTCACCCTTCTTTTAAAAATACATAGTTTAGTTCCAGGATTATCTGAGAAATTTGTTTCATCATAGTTAAAAACATTACAGGAAGAAATTTGTATTTCTTCATCATACTTCAAAGTAATTTTCAAATTATCAAAAAACTTATTAATTTCAGAACATGAAACTGATGCCCTACATTTTTAAATATTCTGACTCATTCGTAGAGTGAGATCAGCATTGTGACGCTTTAAAAAACTATGAGTCCACTCACTTCCAGGAAAGTTATTGTTAAATTTAGGAACAACTCTGCCTTCAATACCCAAAATTGACTTTCTTAAAACACGAAGATCCATGATATCAAATGTAAAACCCCAAGCAGCAACAGCAATAACATGTTGCACAACTGCTAATTCCTGCATAGACGTAAAAACTGTGGGTTTTCCTGGTTTTTTCAGATTAAGTCTTTTAGCTTTATTATACAAAGTCCCAACCGAAATCCCATGAATATATGATACTTTTCTGTACGACAAACCACTATTGATAGCTATCATAGCATTTGATACATGTTGTTCAGAATAATTTTTATACGGCCTGGAATCAACTTTTTTTTGTATAAACGTGGCATAGTACTATTATGATATGCTAAAAGTAAACTTAAAGATAAATGCAACACAATTTAGAATGAAAACACAAATGTTAGATGATATGGTTGAAAACTTATTAGTAGTTTCTCCAAAAAGTATATATATATATATATATATATATATATATATATATATATATATATATATATATATATATATATATATATATGTATATATATATATATATATATATATATATATATATATATATATATATATATATATATATATATATATATATATATATATATATATATATATATATATATATATATATATATATATATATATAAACACACACACAAACATACATACACACACACACTATTAAATGTGTGTATGTGAAGTATTTGTATAAGTTACTAACTGCACATCATATATCAAATTTTAAACAAAATACTACTATATATTATATTTATATATAAATTCATTATAAGAAGTTTATATGCAATATAATTTAAAATTGTTACATGTTTCTGACAATTTAAGTTGTCGGGTTATTTTGAATGTTATTCAAAGTTACCGTATGTAGGTATGTGACATGAAATTTTTGAATTTACAAAATATTATATTGTTATATATCGTTAAAAAGAGCATTAATACAGTATTTCAACGGTGAAAAAATTATCAAAATCGAACAATTCA